TATAAATCCAATCCATTATTATTATGTAAAACAATTGTACTCCAGTTCTGAAACCTTTCATTTGAAAACCTGTGTTTGCTCCTGAAGCTCCTCTGGGTGTGGACCCTGCTGCTGGCACAGTGACTAGTTATACAGAGACAGAGGACAGGGACATATGAGACAGAAACAGACTTAGCAATTATCGCTTCTGACATTTAGTAATAACGCAGTACTTACAGCTCTGCTTGTGTAGTTTTACAGGTGACATGCTCAGCATTGCGTCCTCCAGGTCTTTATCCTCATCCATCCCTATGATGCGGGCAACAATTAGATAAATATATAATGAACTTATATTTCACATCAACACTGTTATTAAAATATTATTAAAACAACTTACCCAGGGGTTTAGTTGGAGCATTTGTGGAAGCAGGCGCAGACTGCTGCAGCTTATGCATCCGTGTTCCTTGACTGCAGCTCTTCCTCATGATAAGGTCTGCATAGCTGTCACCTCTGCCGTCCCAAATCTCCTTCCAGGTGCTCTTGGCTCATGAGCCAAAGCCAACCAGCTGATCATCCTCAGAGGCTTTTGCAGCAACACTCACTCTGCTGGCCTCATAGTCCAGAAGAGCTTTTATCTCTGCAAAGCTGAGGGTATACTGTACAAATGAATGCAAGCTCTCCTTGCCATGCCCTTCTTCCAAAGAGGTCCCTGCATCCACTTCTTTCCTGAGATCTTTGATCAGGTACATGGTGTACCCGACATCATTCTCCAGAAGCCACCGGAAAGATTTCCCTTTATATTTTCCAAACTGCAGGATGTACTCTCCCTGCACTTCCTTCATGTTGGAGGCATCCCCTCCTCTCTGATAGATGACAGTCAGAGCATCGTCCTCCCTCACAGGTGCAGACTTGTCCTGAAGCTTGGGGTCATTTTTAATCCGTCGAGCTTCTTTTGACGAGTCCTGGAGAAGGTATCCAAGTGGCCCCTTGCGGAACGCCACAGAGATTTTCCCTGGATATGGCGCAACAAACCTTTGTGCATCTTGACATGCAGTGAAAAAATAAACAATTGTATTAAACAAAATTGATTCCAAACAGAAACAAAGACATTCCAGGTTATAATCTTGCTGCTGGGTTTAGACAGCAGGATGCAGGAGAACAATAAAGAGACACAATTTGAAAGAACATTGACAACATTTGCGATAAAATTGTTTTTTCCTCCAGGTATAACAAACTGTTCTGTCTGTAAATAAAAACCTTTCATGGTTGAATGATTATCTGCAAAATTTGTGATAACTGCTTAGCAGTCATGGCACATAAGAATTGCTGGTAGATTATCAACATATCTATTTAAGCTATCGTGTTTATTCATACACGAGTGGGCATTGCTCATGTTAGAGAGATATCAAGACAGACTTTCGCATTGATAAGATTACTGCCCATTACAAGATGAAAGCAATACATTTTTTAAGCAGGTTCAGTCATTTAGCATGTCATCTCATAACAAGCCACTTATCGGTTATTTAATTGTACCACATTATAGTAATGTCAGTGTCACAGCAGTCAGAAACCTACAAAGTTTATTTAACAGTAAAACACGTCAATGAAACACGCAATTTATTTAACTAAGCGATGGATGCTTCGTAAATGCAATCGCAACACGCCTATTACCTGTAATATACACCTGTAAATGTATTCTGTTTGTTTATTCTTATTTCAAACGACGTTTCTTACCTTTGATCAATGAATGAGGAGCGTTGGGATGTGTTGCGAGAGGTGAGTTACTTGTTTTCTCTCCCGAAACGTAAAAGAGGAGATTTTTTCAAAGTGCCGCCGCATCTCAAACTCGCAACAGCGCCGGAAGACCGTAGTGGCCAAAAATATATCACACCCGTAGTGCTTTAGCGCTACCATAGAGAATGAATGGGAAACAGTTTAGGGCCGTTTAGCTAAACAAACCCAAGCATCGCGCGGGGGCATTTAGATTAATGTCCACAATGCCCCGAACCGCGCTTTCAGTCTGCCAAAAGCATATCCAATGTGCATTCGAGCTCGAATGGTCATTAAATAAAAAGATCAGCCACACTGATCATTTTATTAAAAATGAAAGAATTTAGACAGTTTTTAACTCTCAGTGATGCCGCAGTGTGTGTTTGACTTTGGGACCTGAAGCGGAGTCTGAACTCGGAAATTAAACCTAGTCCTTTTTTATGCTTTTTAAAAAAAACGAATACACGTAACAGTCAACTGTCTTCAGCTGCAGCAGAGTGGCGCAGCGGAAGCGTGCTGGGCCCATAACCCAGAGGTCGATGGATCGAAACCATCCTCTGCTATCTGTTTTTGTACCTTCAAGATTTCTGACGTAATTCAGTGATCCCAATCTTTATGCATTTCCCACACAGCTCATGGATGACCGGTTAAATTCAGTGTCCTTTTTTAGTGATTAGAGGTTTCTTATATGAAGTTCATTTTTACATTATTTCTCACTGGACATGAACCTCACGTAAAATACAATCTCGCGAGACGCCACGTTGTTTGGACTACGTTGAACGTGTCTTCCTAGGTAGGCTGCGGATAGGAGTGTTTACAGGGATGCGCTCGTTTAGAGACAAAGATCAGTGTATACATTGACATTTCTAAAGATGGCTCACGCAGCAGCTGCTCTTCTCGTCCTGTAACCGCCTGAGTTCAGACCGAGCAGTAGCTGCAGTGGAGCCTGATAACTGACAGCTAGTGGACACTGAGCCCAGAGTCGTCCAGCTCTTCGTTGTGATATGGCGGAGAGCGGGTCGTCAGCTGAATTCTCCAGCTCCCTGACGAGCTCCAGTCTTCCACCGCCGAGGACCCGCATCTTCAAAATCATCGTCATCGGGGACTCTGGGGTCGGGAAGACCTGTCTCACTTACCGCTTTTGTGCCGGCAAGTTCCCCGAGAAGACCGAGGCCACGATCGGGGTGGACTTCAGGGAGAGACTGGTCGAGATTGACGGCGAAAATATCAAGGTGTGTACTGCAGAGGAGCTTCATTGTTACACATCCAGTTCCTCAGGGTGTCTTGGCTGGACTGCAAGGTTCAACGACAACACAAAACGGTTTATGCTATATGGTGATTGACAGCTAGTGGCAGGTCTTATCAGTGGGCCTCTGATCAGGTCCACTGCAGCAGCTATGTAAAAAATGCCTTCAGTAGTACTTGGGACATGTTTTACTTCAACCTCACTGGATACCAACCCTGATGTGCAGGTCATTAAGATAAGATGGGGCCTGATTATTTAAGACCTTGTATGTGAGGAGCAGGATTTTGAATTCTGGATTTAACAGGAAGCCAAAACAGGAGAAATCTGCTCTCTCCCTCTAGTCCCTGTCAGGACTCTTGCTGCAGCATTTTGGATCAGCTGAAGGTTTTTCAGGGAGTTTTTTGGACTTCCTGATAATAATGAATTACAGTCGTCCAGCCTGGAAGCAATAAATGCATGAACTAGTTTTTCAGCGTCACTCTGAGACAGGATATTTCTAACTTTAGAGATGTTGGTGCACATATTACACACAATGAAGAAAGCAGTCTTACATATTTGTTTGAAGTTTGTTTGAAGGACATGTCCTGGTCAAAAATGACTCCAAGGTTCCTCACAGTGTTACTGGAGGCCAAGGTAATGCCATCCAGAGTAAGAATCTGCTTAGATACCATATTTCTAAGATTTTTAGGAGCAAGTACAATAACCTCAGTTTGATCTGGTTTTAGAAGTGGTGCCACTGACTAGCCAATATTTGGTATGCAGTCTGTTGACGTCACATTTTCAGACCACCTGGCTGGTATGGAACCCCAACCGAGAAGGTACTGAAAAGGTATCTTGTACCGGGTAGTACCAGCTAATGGAAAACCCTAACAACAGAGTCGAGTCGACCGGAGTAGGTACTAGTGGAAAATGGCTATAGATAAGCATTACACAGTCACTGACTGAGTGTATAAGAGAAAGAACTTTGAACATATTTAGACCAGGTATTTCAGTTAATGAGCTAGCTGCATCAATGATCTGCACAGATATTTGGATTTCTGTGTCGCATAAGTGTGATCGTAAAGGGCTTCATTTGCTGTGGCTGCACAATTGCAGGCACTGCACTACAGGAGTGCCAGCGACACATACGTCATCATAGGAAAGTAATACAATAAGAACAGCTGCTGTGGTATCTCCAGTTGGCAGTTAATTCAGTTAACTGGCATTAACAATGACAGCCACATTTCAAGACTAACTGACTCTTCCCTAATTTCTAATACTGATGCACAGATCATGAGACCTGCAACAATGTAGAAACAGTGTGTCAGTGTTGTGTTTGTAATGGTGTTTGGCTGACAGTAGAACTTAGTGACACAATAATATGGATAAAAACACAGTTCTAGTTTGGACTGTTCTAACTAAAACCACTTGGAGCAGTCAGTAAGATTAGAAAAACGGTATAATAATAATAATCTTATTATAATAATGAATGTAATTTGTGAGTAAATGACATCACTGCTTGTCTTCTGGCAGGATTTCACTTCTGTATTGTCTCGTACAGATCCAGCTGTGGGACACTGCAGGCCAGGAGCGTTTCAGGAAGTCCATGGTGCAGCACTACTACCGCAACGTGCACGCTGTTGTCTTTGTCTATGACATCACCAACGCTGCCAGCTTCCACAGCCTCCCTGCTTGGATCGAAGAGTGCAAGCAGCACGCACTGGGCACAGAGGTACCCAGGATCTTAGTCGGAAACAAGTGTGACCTCCAAGACTCCGTGCAAGTAAACACGGACTTGGCTCAACAGTTTGCAGACGCCCACTCCATGCCGCTGTTTGAGACATCTGCAAAGAATCCCAACAGCCAAGGAGACAGAAACTATGGAAATAGTGACCATGTCGAGGCTATTTTCATGACAGTCGCCCATAAGCTGAAGTCTCAGAAGCCCCTGGTGCTCAGCCAGCCCCCTGAGGCATCAGGGGGAACCATCAACCTAAACAGGGGGCGGGATGATGGGGGGGACGGGACCAGGAGCTGGGGCTGCACCAGCTGCTGAGATAGGCTAACGGAGAGGATAGAAGAAGACGAGCTCGGCCCAAGGTGGCTGATGAGGTTGGAGGCAGACGGGGCAGAGCGAAGAACGGATGTCAAAAAAGAGAAAATTGTTCTTAAAAAATGGCTTCACAATCAGAACAACAGATGAATGTTTCCAGTAGAGGATATATTAGTTCACTGCTTGTGCTTAACTGACTTATAACCATTTGAGGCAGTATGTGACTGTCTAGGATTGGCAGGGTTCACGGAAATGAACTGTGCCAATGAATGATTGGAAAACTGGGGCCAAAAATCTGATATTAAATCAGTAATTATTCGTTTAACTCCTTCAGTAGAGGCAGATATGTAGGGTCAAAATAACAGAGCACTTTACAAAGTAATGCACTACATGCCGTTTAATTAGACTGTATGTTAGAAGAGCGGTGTCACTGTGGTATTATAATGTTTGCAGACTGCATTATCTTAAAGGTGTTGGTCATGTTATCTCTGCCCCCCTCGTGGGTGTAACACTCCACAGGTGGCTGGTTTTAGTTGTCTCATCAAAGGCTCCATGTGAAGTTTGCATCTAAATAGTATTTTCACTCTTTGTTTATGTTGAGTGTGAATATGCAGATGCAGTATTCTGAATATTTCACATGGGATCTGGTCTTCCCAGTCCACGGTCTATGTTTCTATTCTGGGACACCATCAGACTAACTTTTCTCAAGTAACACTACATTTAATTCTTTATTCCTGGGACTTTGAATTTCCAGTGTATCCCCTCTGTTCATACACTTTCTTCTGATTGGTCGCCCTCCAGAAGCTGAGGGTGTTTTTGCTGAACTGCTTGCTTTCTTAGCTTGTTATCACCATTAATGCTAAAGTTAATTATAAGAAGCAGAAACAGGCGCGTGCTAGCAGAGTGTGCAGACCGTTAAAAACAGCGGCTACAACTATGAGTTGAAAACTTCACAGGGTGCCTTTAAATCCTGTTGCTTTTACTCCAGTGATTAAAAAATTGTCCACTTATATTAATATTCTGTGTGTAACTTAGTCATAACAAGTTCACTGAAATACTAAATTGGAATGAAATGCATGGAGGGAACAATATCCACATTATTGACTTTTTATAGAAAAAGTGGAGTTTTTTCCACTCGGTTTTGGGCTGATTCAACCTTTCTTTTTCCTCCTACTATATGAACTTTATTATTATGCCGAAGTGAAGTTTGTTTAATATTAAGAGTAGATGGAAAGTAAAGAAGTATGATTACTTCAATGACAGTTTTACAGAGTGGTTTCGTAAAGTTAAAGGCAAATTTTAGCTATTTGTCAATTATTAGGACAACCTCAAACCACGGCAGGGTCTGGGAGCATGTACAACAATCATGTGTCCATTATGACCAATTCATCACATCTTTTCCAGCCAAACAAAAAGATTCAACATCAAGTTCATGCCGTGATGTCTGCTACTGGCATCGCACCTAGTGAACCACTCCCGTCTGTGTCAGCTCACTTTTATTTTTACAGCTGAAGCTGCTTCAGAGAAAACGATATTAATCCACTTCCTGTTCCTCCTAACAGTGGGGGAAACTGCTAAGGTGTTTTCAGTGCATGTACAGTCATTGCTAACCACAGCTACCAGTAGATATACTTGGTACTTAATGTCCTGATAAATGTTCCAGGGAAGCACAAAACCATCCACATAATTACGAGACAACTCAAATTTGTTTTTTGAGCAAAATCTTTGCTAATAAATTGTTTGTAAACGTAGCATTAGCATTAGCGGACAGTTAACAAATGGTATTATCTTTCGCACCTTTACTGAAACATTGTGCCAATAAAAGGTGAGGAAATGATCAAGTCTTTTTCATGTCAGGCCGTAATATAGCTCCTCATAATTGGAGCTAAAATATCCAGGAAATCATGGCTACCATCTAGCTGCTAATCTAGTTTGCTAATTTCCTGTTTTTGTTTCACTTCTGATCAGTGGGAGGAACTGGTAAGGTGTTTTCTATGTATGTACAGTCTGTGTGCAGCAGTTGTTGTTATTATTAGGCCTTTAAATGAACCTTTGTATACTGCAATAGAGTACCACAGGAAACAGTCTGAAAAGAGCTAGCACTGTTTCACTCTCTTTTCTCCAGGTTTTTGTTTTTGAATGGATTTGCTTCCTGAAACAAGATCTGTAGTTTTGCTATAACATAAAAACTGGGACTAAATACCCTGCTGATGAACACTGAGATTGTGGCATTGCAGAAGTTGCCAGGAATATAAAATGTAACAGGACCTATAGCTTAATAAATAAATTTAAATACATTTTTATTAAGATATCGATAAATCTTGAAAAACCTTTGGCTTTTTGAAACATTTTAGATTGATGCTAATGTTCTAAGATGCCCCACAAAAATATGGCGCTATTCCTTTTCCAATTCCTAATCTTGTCTGTAATTCAGGAGCAATGACATATAAGGAATGTGCTCAGTCAGTCAAACGGGAACCTGTAAGGGAAATACTGGTTAAATACTGCTTTTTATGTGTAGGGTACAATTCTGCTGGCCAATCAGATGATTAAAACAAATAAGTTAAGTATGTATCAATGTGGTGGCGGTGACGCCAGCCATCATCCACCCACGATGCATTCTTCAGATCCCCTCCCAGGTCATTAAGCCCTCACTCACACCTTTGTCTGTGTGACCATAACAACTCACCGGATGGTGGGGAGGGGGGGACACCTGATGAAGGATTGACACCTTGGCTAGAGATGTGAATCTGCTCTGGAACCACCTCCAAGAGGACAGTTCATCAAAGGGTTAAATACCCGGGACTCTCAAGCTTTAAATAGTTTTTTCTTTACAAAAAAGGGAAAATTAACTATCAGGCAAATTGTTATTGCAGACATTGCGCTGACCTTGAATTTCCCTACTTCATAGTGCGTCGCTCAGGTGTCTTAACATGTGGAGTAATGTCTACATCCGCTACTTAGATTACACATAAGCTTGTGATATAATACTAAGCATGTCTGGCAGCATTCTACAATAAATGCCATCATCCCGTCCACAAGCAGCGACGGCCCCTTTGCTGGTGTCCATAGAGTCATTTTGTGGCTTTGTGTCAGTTTGTGCATGTCTGACCACAGCTGGTACACTAGAGACACACAGTAAATGAAAACACCACTTTCTCTCAGGACGTGCTGTTCACAGCCCAAGCATCTGTGGAGCCTGTCAGTGATGTGACTGGAATGGGGGGGGGCACTGCGTGGGTTTTAATTGTTGTGGGCTCGGCTGCTTTTTTCTGTTCGCAAAGTGTCCTTTGTTTTCATTCCAAGTCCGCCTTCACACTGGGCTCTACTGTAACTTCCTTTGGTTTACTTTTGTTCTTTAAAGATGCAAGACAGGATTGCTGTATATCTTACTGTAAATGGGCCGAAAGAAAAGAATTAAATCCATTAAACTGGTGGAGAAAAAAGGAGATCCTGTGGTTTTATGTGCAATAATGTTTCAGCTCTCCAACAGTTCAGTCCAATTTGTATTTAATGCATACATATTAAATATATTAAGTCAGAGCAAAAGTCATTCACACAGCGTAAAAAGAATTAAACATGAAAGTACTGACACGACGCACACACAGGTGTTCAGGCTTTGGCAAGTTTAAATGAGTCTGACTGTGGAATTGTGAGGCCATTAACCAAAAGAAACTGCCACAGCGCAACAATTCGTGTCTCTCCAACAGATCTGTAAAAAGTCCCGTTTTTCAAGACTTGGCATCTTGAGCTTCACTTGAATTATGTAATTCCGCCTCTGCCTGTGCTCAGAAGTAAACCCATAGACTTTAGCTTTAAATATAATGAACCTGCAGTCAGAAGGAAGCAAGCAGGAGTATGAAGTCCCCAACAGGCATGGTGTCAGGTCAGTCTGCTGTATGGGGGCAGGTTGGAGGAACCCTCCTCTTCTTCTGGATCGTCTTTGTGAGTCGTTTGAGCTGGAGAGTTAAACAGCCTGTTGTCTCCTCCTGCTGGACACACATGAGAACTTCATTACAGGACTGCTGAGAGTTGGACAACAAAAAACAGAAACACGGGCGAGACTTAGGTCCCCTGAGTTTGTGGTGCATAAAGGCGCGACTAGTTAATGGGTGGGACGTTTATTAGAAGTCTCTGGATCATAATGGTGGCCCGCTCAGCCTATGTGGTTTGGCATCAGAAAAACGATGCTGTTGTTTTGCAGATTAGATTCAAGCCCCTCCCACAATGCTTCATGTGACAAGTACAAGAAAAAAGATTAATGAATATGTTTCAGAGGAAGAGTGCTCATGCTACTTCCTTTTACCACTAGAGACCGATCAGGCACACTGCTACACAAACCTGACAGAGCAGCACACTAATGTGGATGCCCCCGTGACCTTTGAACCTGCTGCTTCATTGTACATGATTGTCTCATTCTCTGTCAGAGGCTTCATGGTGAGATTTCCTGAGTAGTGTCTGAAATTTCTTTCTTTGTTATCATTGTTTGGTGATAAAACACCAACACACACTTAACCTAAATCCACCACATTAAAATGTTATATGCTGGGTTCACCTTGATTATTGAGAAAATTTCCTAACAGAGGATCCACATTTAAAGCTTACTCTGCAAAGTGCACATCTCCGTGTCCCCGGGATCACACTGAGGAACCAGGCTCTCCTGAAAACACACACACGACACATAGTGAACAAAGTGAAGTGAAAACAGAACATCCAGGTGTGGCCTCGTGAGAACCCCACTGTGATTATGTCACACTGGTTAGTAAAGGGTTTTTTTTAAAGACGTCACCAGCTTGGTTTTATGAAACTGGACATGAGAACCAAGGGGTGGACCAACTAAGAAATGAAGACACACTGGACTTATATGGCAGCAACCTGACAACCACAACGCCCACCCTTAATCATATCTGGCCTTAATTGCCTTGTTTACTCCAACTGGAACCATCATTTTGAAAATAATCATAAGACGCGTAAGATAAGATAGGCTTTATTAGTCCCACAGTTGGGAAATTCACAGCACTTTGTAATGAGACGTTAAACTAATCAGAGAGCGCTTGCTGATATCACACAATCAATAAACCAGCTCAAACAGCTGGGCCATTTTCCTGCAAACATTTAGGATCCGCTTCATTAGGTACGCCTGTCCAAAGCCCTTTTGATGTAAATGTATAGTGTGCTGCACTTCCCTGTTGATGCCAGAGATCAGAGCCAGACTATTTCAATCTGATACTGATGCAACGTGAACTCAAATAAGCACCCGTTATGACCAAGGTGTGGCGAAGAGAATCTCAGAAAGCACAGCCTTGTTGAACTTTGAATCAAACGGGCTAAAGCAGAAGACGCCGTTGGGTGCTGCTCCTATGAGCCGATCAGGTCACAGTGACTCACCAAAATGTTATCAACTGCGCACGGCTCCATCCTGGCTTTCAGCTGCTCCTCAGGATGCTGGTGCCACTTGTAATGGTGGAGACACTTTTGGAGACGCGTTATAAATGAAGCTGACCATGTCGTCTTTCAGTGTGCTCATCTTCTGATGGCTGCACAGCGTCACAAAGCTCATCTCAAACAGCTCAGTAACACCGAGTTCGCTGCACTCAAATCACCTCCACAGTCACCACACCTCAATCCATTACAGGGATGTGGCAGAGTGGGAGATTTGCATCAGGGATGTGCAAATGGCAAATCTATAGCAACTGCTGCAACTGTCAGTATGGACCAAAATCTGCAGCATCTAGTCTGGAAACATGCGGCGCTATGCTGGAACTAGCAAGCTGTAACTAATATTTTAGGCTAATGTTAGCAGCTCCTTAGTGAATGTGGACAATCCTACGAAAACAACCATAGGTAGCTTCTTTTTTTGTTTAAATCTGTGTGGCAAACACATTTAGTCCTGACCAGTTTCTTTGTCCAAGTATGTTTACAACATAAAAACGTTCTGCACGTGTTATTATTAGTTCATGTTTTTCTTTAGTTAAAAACCAGAGTCGTCTTCCTCTCCAATACACCGTTACTCATATTTTAATGTGAGGGTTATCATGTTGCTTTAATCTTAGCATTTTCAAATGAAATCGTGACTTTCAGGGTTCTTGTTCCTTACAATTACAGCACATTAGAGTAAATTTGACCTTTATGTGTTTTTTGTTCATTCTAAATAAATAATTTGAGATGAAAACATGTTATGATTTTTTATTATGCTGTCCTTACCAGTCCAGTTCTGGCATCATAGCAGGCACACAAGGGGATGCTGCGACAGCCCATGTAGCCGATGACAGAGGAGAAAACCAGGCTGATGGCGCAGGTTAGCAGGATGGTGGCGTTGGCACCTTTCACCATCCGATGAAGCACAAACGTCTGTGCAGGGAGACGAACAATGTTACAGCCATGAAGTGTGTGTGTAATAAAGAAATGGGGGGAGATCAGAGTGAAATTATCTCTCTAAATCACCAGCACCGAAACAAAAAGCTGCACATTTATTTATCCCTCCATGTGTTGGACATTTTTGTTACACATTTCAGCAAACTACCCAAAAACAAAACAAAACTGGAAAGCCACAAGACATGTTTGTGTGTAATCAACTTCCATGAACTGTGGATAAGTCTGCATATATAGAGTCGTACAAAGGAGGGCATATAAAAAACATCAGGATGTGACAGACAGGCAGCACTGACGTCCCACATCCTTAGCAGCAACACCAGCTCACACATCCATGCTTCATCCTAGTGTCTGCACTACTGCGAAACAGCTGGCCAGAAGTGCTGCTGATGTGAGTCAATATCACATCAGGAGAACGCATAGCAAGGTTTCCCTCTCCAATAGGACGCCTCTGACATTGTTGGAAGATGTGAGCTTAAAGGCATGCTAACATGAGCTGCTGGTAAATATGTAAATCATCAACCCACTCAGAGGAACAGAAAAACAACAACAAAAAACCCAAAACATGGAATTTGATTCGTTTGTTTGCTGAACAACATTAATGTGTCAGGACATTCAGAAAGGTTATGCTAGGTTCCTGCACAAGTAACTGTGCAGGAGATGCAGGTGACCAGTGTCACATCTAAAATAATTGGAGACCTCAGATAAGGAACATGATAAATGGACCTGTTCCTATAACACTTTCTACTCTGAGCACTCAAAGCAACTTGCCTCATTCACCCACTTGCACAAACACTTCTTATCTAACATTCACACACACATTCACACTCCGATGGATGTACTGGAGAGCAACCTGGGGTCAGTATCTTCCCAAAGGATATTTGGCATGCAGACTGGAGCAGACAGGGATTGAACGTATTTTCCTGAATGTTTCAACCACTTTACCCCTGCAGATGATCTTGAGAAGTTAAAGTTCCTGAAACTCGTTGTGTAAAAGCACCTCAAGCTGGTCATTCACAACAGCAGGACCTGTTAGTTCTTGATGAAATGCAACCAGGTCTTATTTACTACAACTGACTTCGTCAAGAAATGAGTCACTGATTAAAACAGTGATTGTGTGTGTGCAGGTTACCACTTCAGGACTGTTGTGGTGATGGAAGACCTCTTTATCCTCCTGCCCATAGGTGAGGGTCAGACAGGAGTAACTTGATATGATGATTGCAGCCAAAACAGACAGGCCTGAGGCCACCACCATCACACTCACCTGAGGACAGACACACAAGTTCAGCCAAAGAAAGAGGACTCTGTGCTTATGTGTGTACGACTACCTTTTAATGAAGCCAAGTTTGAGTTTCAAACCATTGGAGAAAGGACATTTTTAGAAAGTGAATACAGTCTGGCTGGTTCTTACAGCGCTCCAAAGAGCTGTATGAGTTTCGTATTGGTTTAGAATTAGGTGTAGGGCGGGGTATCGGTTTGTTAGAGTTCGATTAGAGAACATGTTGTCTGAAGAGGAAAATAAATTAAGTACATCATAAACTTTCTTCTTCCACACTGGACCATCTGCATCTACCTCGCCTGGTCCCTTGCATCCTTGACCATCATAATCCAAATAATTTATTTTTAGTCCAAAGCCCTGTTGATGGACTGAACAGGAACCTGCAGGTGGCAGATTTAATATGTAAACATTAGCAGGTTGGCAGGTGAGGAAAGGCCCAAATCCAAGTTTCAACCAGAGGTCCTTAAACGGTTCTTTATTGTGACAGGGCTGCTGAAGTAACACCCATCACACACTTGTATCTGTGTGAAGTTTCTCTGGCTGTAGTGCTCAGAGTGCAGTGTGGGGGACAAACATCAAATAACAGATGAGTTCAGCAAAGGTGCATGGTTGGCCTTTAATGCGAATGTGAGAGATGCACCAACACCTTAACTAAAGTACAACTCTGAATTTACTCCTCCTACTTTGCGGAATCTTTTTATTTTTATTTTCTTGTTACTTGTTATTTTTGTTTGCTTGTTTTCCAGAGAAACGGACACGGTCATTCATTCTAAAAGTCCTGCTGATGTTATCAGTCAAGAATAAATGGCAACCATCACACTGACCAGTACTGGGTTCTTCCTCTGGGAGGCAAACAGCGCCAGCACACCTGGAGAGGCCATGATCTAAAGAAAGTGACACAGTTTAAAATGCAGGGAGAAAGTCTTTAACACTGTTCACGCGGAAGTCCTCCGTGTATTTCTCACGGAGAGAACGCTACTGGTTGCCTAAAGCTTTGGTGAAAACAGTGCTTAGAAGAAAAGTGATGACAAAACAAGGATCCTAGCGGGAGATCTAAGTGACGAAACCCGTTCAGTTTTATACCCGAACAGGCAGGTGTCCTGCGGGTTTGTGTTATACTGAATGCCCGTTAGTCTCACCAGTCCTCCCCACAGCGGCGTCCTGGTGGTACTCAGCGGAGTGTCCTTGCGAAAAACAGCGTCCATGAGCCCGCAGACCACACAGAGACCAGCACAAGCCACCTGGAGGATACCGAGGCCGAGCACGCCCTTCTGGTTAAAAATAAAGTACCTGTACCGGTCCATGTCCGGGTGCTAACCCGACGCAAAGCACCCTGAAGTCCTTCGTGTGCCAACTCGGGTCAGAAGAAAAGTGGAGCTGCTGTGGAAACCTGAAGTTACTTTGATGCTCGCAGCGGCTTTATAAACACGAGTCCCGCTACCGACACCTGTGTCGTTGTTGTTCTCGCCCGACGGCCCTTTTATCGGGTAGAGTGAATCTTCCGGGCACTCGACGGATCTCGAGGTTGGTTCAGCAGGTAGGAAGTTTATCCGTTAACCTGTGCCCGGCGGCAGGTGGAGAGCAGGAAGGGATTTCCGAGTCCAGAGTCTGGACCGTGGGCAGCCAAGCCCCACCCTCACTGCAGGTTTAACACGCACACTGTGGAAGCTCCTGACCTTAAATCCAACCCGGTCCTTTCGGCGTGGAGTGTCCGTGCTCGCCACGGTCCAAAGACTGTCAGCCCTGCGACCGGCCCGGTCTCCTAAGCTGCACAACGATGGGCAAAACCAGGAACGAAAATGGATGGACTCTGAAAACAGCGATCCTCTCAACTGTGTGGATTTTTGAGCCACGATAATCAATGAAATCGATAAGACACGTTGCATAGAAGAAGCTAGGCTTTCCCCTGAAATAAAACTTGCTTTGGAGCCCCCAGACTTTCCCGATTTAGACAACATTTTGATCCATCTCTCATCTCTGTCAGGTTAATGGTTATTGCACAAGTAGCTTTATGGAGAAGTTTACAGAACATTGTTTTGCTGCAGTAAGAAGCTGTTCTTGTACAGCGTGAGTTTACAGGTTATCTTTAAGATCTTGATCATGATTTTCTTTCTACACCTAATCCACACGAACCAAACCTTTAGGATCCAAGCAGTCTTTCTATTCTTGCACCTGTATGATGTCCGGCACACGGCTCTTATTACAAGTACGCAAGTAAACTGTGAATCACACAAAGCTAGAGTCAAGGAATAAAAATACGGAAGCCAAGATTGACTTTCATGTTTACCAAGTAGCCTCCTGGACATCTGACACCAGAGCGGTGAAAACTTGTTTTCTTCAGTGACTGTATTTGTGTTTTTGTAAACATTAAAATATTAATGATAGCGCTGTTTTGGCTGATGTGATAAATCAGGACACAGGATAATGAGCACATGGGTAAAGAGAGGATGAGAACTCGTCAATAGTCTGTCCTCATCGTTTTATAAATCAGCAGCGATGTTATGGGGGTCGTTGCTGCTACAGGAGATTCTACCAATTAAAAATTAAAACAAAAAAAGTCGAAACTTTCCATTCTTGTGTCTTAAGATGATGATGCATGCAGACTGGGTTTCCTTACCTTGTACTTTTATTTCCGAGAGCATATGCACACAGATAGTTTGGTTAGAAAAGTGAAACAAGCTCACAGGTGAGTAATGGCAGACATTCCATTATTTTCTCCCAAAGTTCTTGGATTAGAAACGCCCTTTACAAAGCTCAGGGAGTGCAGTACCTAACCACTTCAGATCTTAGAAATAAATTAGCCACTGCGATGTTTATCCTGTACAGCAAGTAAACAGATCTGTCAAGTTACACTTTATGAAATGTATAGATTGGGATACGTAAATTAGTGCAAATGAAGTGTGGGCTGAACAGTTTGCAACAGATGACACAAAGACTGTGGGGTCCAAATAGTGGTGTTTGGAGGGGAGCTCTGTTAGGTAAACAGCAGCTAGAAGACGCACACAGTGAGTGAGGATTCAGACAGTGGAAACTGAAGGAAGTCATCATTGCACAGAAATCTTGACTTGAATGAGGGTGTGTGTGATGAAGAGGATGTCAGACAGAGCGGCGCCTCCAGCCACAGATGTGTCTCCTCTAATATCATTTGGTTTCTTGCATAGTTCTTGTGTTTCTTTGGCCTGAGAGAGGCCTCCAATCATCCTGAATTGCTCAAGTAGTATTCCATTTGAATACTAAACTTGGTAACTTTGCAAATATTTCTCTAATATCAATTGCCACAATGCTCCAGCAGTCTTGTAAGGTGGTAGCACAGGTAGAGGGGAACGTCCAGAGGTATTCATCTGCAATCTCACTGTCCAGTAGGAGCCCCTCCTCTCTGCTCAAACGCCTCTAGCTCTCGCTTGTACCAATCAGGAGCCTCCGGGCCATTTTTTCCAGTTGGCTGGTGATCGTAACCGTAGGCGACCGTTAGCTCCTCATCTTTTTGCACAGCCCTCAAGGTTCGGATGCACTTGATTGGCCCAAAACGAGGATGGACAAACCTGTGCAAACCCAGGATAAACACAAATGCACAAAGTCAGGCAAGAAACACTACTTTGTGCTTTCATTGTGAGATATGCTACAGTGACGTCTGTCATGGTACCACAAGTTAGATGCTTAGTATATTACCGGGTCTCGGGGCAAATCTTTGGAACATTTTTGGTGTAGGAAAGGTGATATGAGACAGGGCCGGAGGCAGGATGTACCATGGACTGGTCCTATTAGAATCACCCACTGCCCTAAGTGGCAGTGGGTGAAAGTGTTGTTTAAAATAGTTAACTAAAGTTAACTAAAGTAAACAGGTGCCTGAATTTATTCTCAAAGCATCTAACTTTGTGTTTTAGAGACTTCTACATTGTACTCTCAGATGGTGCAGCAGGCTAACGCAGGCTAACACAAGGATAGAATACACGGAGCTTCCACATGAATGGTACAACGGTTATTTTATTGAATGGGATGGCAAACAATGCTCTAAGCACCTGCTCCTGGAAAGAAACCTTGCTGGTTTACAAAGACGAACACGTAAATAAATAAATGTGTGCATGATGAGAGTAATGATGGTTGATTGATGACCCTGAACTCAGTGTTTACTCTACACAGATGAGATATAAGCTGCTAATGCTAATATTTGCTTATAAAAACAACTACTGGTTTAACTTTAAAACTTGACAGTGCTCACATGCTAAGTTAGCTTTTTGTCATTTGAAGCTTAGTAAAATAAAATAATCAAATCGCTACATGTCGCTAGTTCAATGAGCTCTTAGCTCAGGCTTTCCTGAGCAGCTGTATCGTTTGTCATCTTTGTACAAGTGTGGCCAACTACACAGAATAACTGCAACCTGTGCCAAGAGGTATATATGAATATAGCATTAGCCTCCTTACACTGACTAGCCCCCCAAAAAAAACAAAACCAAAGAATCCACTGCTGGTGCTGATGTGATATTTTCCATAACAACATTAATGGGACCATTGCTGTTAGGGGGTTAAAGCAGGGTACATGTACTTTTTTCTCTCTTGATCTTTAACTTGCTGTTACTGGAAGGGGAATAACCACATGCAAATCAGGTGTTCACTGTCCAGGCTATGGCTCACTGTTCAAACACAATAACACTGTGTTATTAAGACAGCATGACCACTGAACTGTTCAAACTGTCTCCGTGGTTCTCAGTTCTGACAGGTGGGGCACAAGTTACCTGGCAGAAAAGTCGCGCTGAACTAACTTTTACGGCAGAACAAAGAAATTTATAATTAATTAGGATTAATAATATGCACATCTGCTGAAAGCTGCAGCCGTGTGTCCAAGTCGACAGCCGCAATAAGAAGTGCACTGAAAAGCGTGAACACGTGGTCGGGTCTGTCGTGCATCGTTTACAGTGGTGCCGAAAACCAGGACTGGGCCACGAGAGACCCGACCACGTGTTCACATTTTCAGTGCACTTCTTATTGCAGCTGTCCACTAACACACTGGGCTGCAGCTTTTGTGCTACAGCCTACACACATCAACAACAACAGGACCCAGTTCATTCAGTTTTAAGCCAGCGAGGCATGATTGGGGATTGGCGCGATCGGCTTGATCAGGTGTGCCCGTCTCCCCTGCAGCTGCAGACCATGCCCCAGCACAGCTCTGCAGTCAGAAACAGGCTCACTGCAGCCACTAAGAGTGAAGAGTATTAAACTCTCACTGAATTATATGTTTTCATCTCTGTGAACAAGTTTCTGGATTTCTTTTCTTTAATAAAACTAAGACTGAACTTTATTTTTCCATGTTTGGCAATGTTCACGTTCTATTTAACTTGTTGCGTTTTTGAAGAAGTGCTGCAGACTAATGAAGCAGTCTAGTGACAAAAGCCTCAAATAGTTAAATGAAAGTTGTTTGTTTAAAACAAAAATTACTGAAGGATTCATTGTGAATGACTTTGTTATCTAAATAAAGTTGCAGCTTTCTGTCACTGTTTTGCTTCGATGGGGCGTGAATGTGTGGGGAATGATGAAAAGGTTTGAGAACCACTGATCTAGCTGAGGAAAAACAGTTCTATTAAGAATAATTCCCTTCTGTATAACTCATCAAAGATTGCTTGATGTCTTCGGGAGCAGTAACAACATTGGTGGTGCATGACTACAGAAAGTCTTCAGCTGGTCTGAGTGAGGTTATTTCTGTTCAATTTGTAATCACATCAGGCTTCTTTTTTGTAAATGTCAGACTCTGCTGGTCAACCTGTCAGCTTATACTCACGGGTCATATTTGCAGTTGGGGATGAAAGAGTGGTTTGCTTTATGACCCAGAGACGCGCAGTATCTGTCCGCCTGGTCAAATGGCTGAGGGACGTCAATCACGGTATCCTCATCGAGTGAAATTGTGTTTCCATTCAGTGCCCAGTCCCTGCTGTCCACCTGATGAGTCACGGATAAAAACACAAAGAAAACACAAGCGCATTTAATGGGGATAATCCTACAGGCTGGGCCATTCATATGGATACAGCGTAACAACATGGG